TGTCTGAAGGCCCATCGAAACTACCTAAATGTTGATCTCTGTATCAGAGGCTCACTCCTGGATGTTCCCGCTTTTGGAGATGAACGTGACAAAACAATCAAGAACGTGGTCTCTCTAGTGGTGGTGCGCATCCACCAGATGATTTACCCATTTATAAATAGCTGGGACACAGGAACTGCTCTCACTAAAGTCGTATCGCTCAGTATCTACTGTAAGAAGCAAGGGTTGGTTGTCCAGGGTCTTAGACAAGAGGCCTTCCTCAACACCTGATGCTATTCAGTTACAGATGTCCCCTTGGCATGCAAAAATTAAAAAAAGAGGAAAGCCAAACAACGCAACCATGCTCTACCTTTATTTTGATAAAGAACTGAACACAGCGACTGAGCAGGCACTCCCTCCCAATACTTTCTGTGGCCTTGCCAGAGCCTAACCGGGCTGCTCAGCTTCCCAACTCCAATCTGTTCAAGTCAGCATCTGTGACTCTCTCTCGCTCCTGGCAGATGGGGTCGTTCCACTGCTTAAGCATTGAGTTGAAGGGGTTTGGGAATCACCCAATCTCATTTCGAAATCGTTAAAGATTATCCAATAAATTCAAGCACTACAGAAGAACGGACAAAACACTGCAGAGAGAGAGGGGGGGGAGAGGGAGAGAGAGCCCCTCCATAGAGAAGGAGATAGTAATCTGTCTCTTCTCTCTCTCTCTCTCTCTCCCTCTCTCTCTATTTTTTAATTAAACAAGTAGAACTTGCTTTCTAGGTTTTGGTTTAAAAGGATTTCAGCTTACAAAGGCAGGCAGTTTGCAGTTTTAAATGGAGCTGTCAGATGCTTGTGACTAATGCACTTTGAACACGTTTTAGAAATTAAAACCCCCAATACTTCTGCAAATCTTATTAAAAAAAACTGCACCCTTCATCAAATTTCTCCCTCACATGCCTACATATTATTAACATGAAGTGGGTGTTCTATTATATTTCCATTGCATCTGCAGAGCAAGCCCCAGCTCTAGAAAGAATTTCAGCCAAAAGATTTCACATGATCAATGGCGGAAGACCGACCATTACACTCCACCCTGCTTATATTTCCTCTTCACATCATTGTTGGGAACCCCCTCCTTCATCGAGAATGGACTGCATACCCAGTGCATGCCATGTTATAGACATCCTCCTGACGAACAGAAATTTGCTTTTTAAAAAGCTTAGATGTGGGAGGTTTCTGCATAGTAGGTAAGCAACAGTGAATCTATTAACAGAGGTCACCTGTTCCTTTGGAAATCCCTGATTTTTCTATAGGCCTGATCATTTTGTAAGGACGTATTTTGAGACCTGGTTGAGGATGCCATGCTGGGCACACTGGTCTAGAATTATGACTCACTGAACACAGTATGACTTAAGTCCAAGTGAACATGTACACAACTGCACTGTTTTACATGGTGTGCCCATGAAAGAATGCCATTTATTGTGTTTCGTGCTTTATAAGCCACTTTGAGGGCATCGTAAAAATGTATAATGAATCTGAAAAGCCTGAAACTGGCTTAGCGACACGTGAAATCAGCAAAGAAGCAACACTCCCATCAAACAACTGCCTTGACTTTCCAGAACATTCTCTGTCTTTCTAAAACATACACTTTCCCACCCATCTCATTATGCTCATTATAAAGAGTATTTTCCTGGACATGGAAAATACACCAGTGGAAAAAAGAAACAGTGAATATCAGCATGATCCTATCTGTCAGGATGACTCGGTCTTCCAAATCACCATTCTACTATTCCTAAACTGTAACCTGGTAGAACTTCATATGTTTCCTGCCTGGTGAGGCTGGAAGAGGATGATCGGAATTACAGCCCAACACATCTTGAGGGGCACGTTTGTTAAGGAAGGGTGAAGTAATGCTGTTGACTCTATGCCCAGCCCTTTGGTCATGAATGTGCCCTAGCAGTGGGGAAAAGAAGAAGAAAAGACTAGTTAAAATGTGATGGGTGACCCTTCGTAGGAGAGAATCTCTCTCCAAGTTCTGGGGATGAATTTCTGCTGTTGCTAGGGTAGACAAAGTGGGAAGTTCTTCTCCACCAAGAAGCCTCGCCAAGCAAAAAATATACTGCCCTCTGATAAGAGACATGAACCCACAGTTCTTGTTCTTAGGCGTATGTTGAAAACATAACTATCTCTGTAAGCTTTCCTGGTAGAGCTGAGCCTTAGTGTCTCTTTCAAGGGTAACTAAAGTACTGAATACTGATGCTATATACTGCTTTATCTTGTATGTCTTCCTGCACACAGGTTTGAAAACATTGAAATCTGATGTAAGCAGCTTTAAAATATTTGTAAATAAACAGAGTGCTATGGTTAGATCCAGTTGTTACTCTCCACTACATCTGACTCACTAAACGGTTGTGACTTGTGCACTCAACACATACTGAGTGAATGGGTCTACTCCACTTGGACCAGCAAGCAACTTAGCCCCTAGTGAATCGGGGCTAAACGGATCCCAACGCCTGACACCGATCTGAGCTGCTGAACAGGAGGAGACAGCTTGGGTGTGAAGTATGACGGTGGTTTTCCAGCTGCTGTCATGTGACAGAACAACATTCCCTTGGATTGTTTCTGCATATGATGAAGCAGCCAGAAGTTCAGTCACAAGAATGGCACTAGAATTATTTCATGGGAGCACATCCCAGATTTCCTTCCTGTTCTGCTTTTCAGACAAAACTAACTTCTCTAGAAAAACACCAATGGCAAACCTGAGAAGGGCGTAACAGACCCTGCTCTGCTAATAGTTCCACAAACAAACTTAAGGAGAAGACGGATGTTTGCCAATTTTTTTTTAAAGGAATCAAAATTAGAAGCAATTCCACTACCGAGTCCACAGGCTGGCAGATTTCAGGCATCCAGCATTGACTTTGTCTTCTTTGCTCGAATCAAGGTCTACCACCTGGGGCAGGAGGTCTACATTTTAGACTTAAAAGAGTCCTGAGCCCAGGGATTTGAGTAGCAGAAATGAAGGCTGGTCTAGACTTCTACAGTTTGCCCAACAATGATCCTCCCGTTTTGCCCTTTCATGCCTATGAGTTATGCTTAATTGTAAACAGATCACAGCGGTGCAAGATGTCCGGGGAACCAGAGGGAAATCCACTTCCCCGACCCCCCACCCAACAAAGAGCGATAGGCTTACCACAATTCCAGTGCCACACATCAGATTCAGCCCAAACAGGAGTCAATCACCACACACTCAACCCCATCCTCATTTTTCCTTAAGCAGACAAATCCCGGCCTAACGTCTCCTCCTGCTTTGCATCCCAGGTACATCCTTCTGCCGAGAGTGGCCAAAGACAACAAGAGAAACAGTGAAAGTGGTGCATTCTTGGCCAAAACCACACGATAAAAGAAACACAGGATTAGAGGTTAGAGACATTTTTCTATTTTTTTTAGTGCATGTTTTTGCATCTAATCCCCAAACAGCGTTGCAGTTTTACTGCTGCCCTTTCAAAAGAGAACTGCAAGGGCCTATAAAACAGTTCCTATGAAAAAATGGGCCTCAAACCTTTTGCCATGGACCCCTTTCCGTGCCTTCATGCGCTCCCTTTTCATCACATGCCCTTTTTATGCACATTCCTGGCATATTTTCCACCTAACAACACGGGAGAGGCTTTCTGTGGAGGGCTCCCCGCGTATCTCTAAGGTTCTTTTCCCACAGTTATTAATGGCCCAACTGACTTCACTGGAACACTTGCCGCTTCAATCTGCTTTTGTCTGCCTGGAAACCTTCACCAAAAGACGACAGGACTAGCGCATGCCCAGAAAAAGAAAAGAAAAAAGATAGACACAAAGGAAACCTTTCCCCATTGACTTGGCCCTTGGAGCACTCTCGTTTTCTTCTAAAAAGATTTTCCTCTGAACACGACTGCTACTACAACTAAATCACAATTATGTCTTTGTTCAAATGACATCAGAAGCACGTATGAAGAATAAGGTGCTAGGTATGTGAGATATTATAATTATAATTATGTTATAGTAGTCTTAGAACTGCAGAGCTGGAAAGAACCCTATGGATCCTCAGGTCCAGGCTGTGTCAAGGAGGCACCGTGGGGAACTGACCTCCTCGCTTCCACAGCCAGAGATCTAAACTGATCCAGCCGTCGGCACCACGCTTTTAAAAAAGATACAGACAAATCAGAATGGGCTTAATTCTAAGAAAGGTGTTTGGCTGCACAAGGGAAGGTGATAGGCCTGGAGAAGAGTGGAAAGGACACGGCACTCTTCAAATTCCCCAAGGCTGTAAAAGAGAAGAAGATGGCATAGATGTGTTCTCCGTTGTCCCACTGGACTGGACTCAGCTCCGACGGGCTGTAATTCCAGGAGAAGAAATACCGGTTGAACCTCCTTAGGAGAAAACTCTTGATAGTAGGGAGGGCATGGTCAATGGAGCCACAACTTGTGGCATCAAAGTAGCCCAAGTGTGACCCTTCAAATGGTGAAGAGATGGCAACTCTTCGCATTTTTCACCACATTAAACGTGACTGAGGCTGCCGGGAGTCCCAGCTGGACAACAGCTAGCAGCTACCCTGTGCCCGGCCCTATCGCTTCCCCAGATGTCCTCAAGCAGATGCTGGACAGTCATATCTCAGGGATGTTCTTGTTCCAGTTTTCTCGCTGGAAGCAGGGGCTGGACTGGATTGACTACAATTATCTGATTCAAAGATGTCAGGGCGCAAAAGGAGCACAGCCGCTTTTTAGCAGACGAAAACATCCTGGTAGCCCGAAAGGGGTGTTAGCAGGCCACGTGGGGGTCAACCTTTTCCACAAGGACATGGAACTAAACATGTGCGCACAAATCTGGACGAGTCCCTCTGCCACTGTCAAAGAGGAACTCGCTCAAAAAAATCACCACACCATACAATACCACCTGCACTGAGAAGTTCCCAAATCACATTACACCTTCCAGTTCTAATAATAAACAAACAAACAAACAAACATTGGCAGGACGTGAAAAACCGTGCCCAACTTACTGGTTGAGTTGCCTTGCATTTGGATGATGCATTTGGACTCTTTGCTCGTCTCGCGGGAGTTGAAGGGCCTGACCCGGACCGCCACCTTGACAGAAGCCCCCGACATTTTGACGCCCCCTTGTGCGTAGTCCAGAAACCAGCTGCAAAGGACTTCCCACAGGTTCTCTCTTCTGGAGTTATCTGATAAAAGAAAGGAGAAAAACTGGTTTTCATTTATTCTGGAATACAGATCAGGCAGCTCAGTGGAGTCAATCCCCCTTATGCAAAAATTAACATCATTTCTTGGCATCCCAAGACAGCAAGGATAGCGCCACTCCCCGCTCTCCTAGCTGGTCACAGTTAAGCAACAGCTCCAGAGACACTGTTTTCAGTGTCCCACCCCCAGGAACAAAAACGGAATCTGCAGCATTTACATCACTTTTGACTCAGAGCCACTGAAAGGGTAGCCATCCTCTGAGCGGTTTGACAGTTTTATTGGTACATGTGACATGCTAAAAACAATTCTGCACACATAGAAAGTCCCAGGGATCTCCCAGATCCATGGAGGAAATGAAAAGGGTTTTTCTGATGGCTTGGCTGTGCAAGTCCGACCTTCCCTTCTCCTTTCTGCAGAGTGGCGAAGGGAAGGCCTCCGATACCCAGCCAGATTTTCACTTGAAAACAGCTCTGTCTTGTGCAGGTGCGCACAAATACAGCAGGGAAGCTCACAAACTGGGTCCCACCTCTAAAAATGCCACAGCAAAAACTCCTTCCAACTTGGAAAGAGAGCACAGCGCATCACTGACAAATAACGACACGTCCTTAGACATGCTTAAAAACAGCTCTATGTGAATCAGCAAAGAGGCAGGTTAAAGACAGAAGACATCGTTCACTTCCTGAACGCCTTTTTAAAAAGTGACTTAAGAAACATTACTGTCATCGTTTTCTAGCCTGTATTTTTTAACTGAAGTCTGCAAATTATCTGTTTGCTTGTTTGCTTCCTTGTTTAAAGGCAGGACATCTTGGTGTTCCACCTAAGAAGAAAAAGTTGCAACCACAATGCACTGCAGGCAGAGAAAGCGTAGATTTCCCATTTGGGTTTATTTCTTCCGGGGGGTAGACTTAGCTAATAAACTCAGATAGGAAATCTATGTGTTCTCTGCCTGCAACTGGATTGTGGTTCCAACTTTTCATATTAGATGGAACACAAAAAGGAGGAGGATGTATTCTTCTGTTGGAAAGACAAGGAAGACAAGTTGGGGTCATTAACACATATACAAACACATCACACTTTCAAATGCAGAAGTGACTCTGCAACATGCCAGCTTCAGATGTACACTACAACTCCTAGAACAACAGAAGGTGCCAACACAACATGTGACCAAAAAAAAGGGAGTTAAGATTTCTTTGGCCCCTATTTAACACAGCTTTCACCACCCTTTCACCAAACTTCTTGGTCCTGCTGGCTGGGGACCAAGAGCTTTGTAGTCCAACATATAGAGGACATCCAGACAGGAAAGGCCAGTTCAATGGTTTAGCCAATGGGAGCATTAGCAGACTTTCTAATAGTTACACAATTGGCTGGATAGCTCAGTGGGCTAGGTCTCTGGCTGTGGAGCCAGAGGTTGGGAGTTCGATTCCCCCACTGGGCCTCCTAGGAGAAGAGCCCGCCTGGGTTGCCTTGAGCAAGCTGCAGAGCACGCCCAGGGGAAGGGAACGCTGAACCATTATCGAGTTCTCTACCTGAAAAGGGCCAACCTAAGTCAGAATTGACTTGGACGGCACATGATTATTATTCGTTACACAGCTGGGACACAATTTTTCCTTTTTTCACTTGATGCCTAGCAGGAGTCAAGAGCTCTCTAATTTGTACCATAACTCACAAAACAAAGGACACCAGTAACTAAGGGTTTCTTAGTGCCTGAATGTAACTGAACAGGCATCAACACAGCAGCAGTTATCTTCCAGATGCATCTGGAAAAAAAGCTAACAAACTGGGAGATGAAGTCCAAGGTTGTGATGCTGTAAGCTTTGCTTTCTACGGTCTTTTCTGTGTAACTGATCCTCCCTCCCTAGAAGAAAACTGAAAGGATTCTGGCCAAATGGACGGAAAGCTTCTAGTAACATAATAAAAGTACATTATGTACTCTCAAGCTCTCTACTTAAGTGGCCTCCGGTAGCTTCTTAACAAGGATGCAACCTTCCTCCTGCTAAGACCAGAAATTCACATTAAGTATTACTTAAAATCTCTTTTTCCAGGAAGACATTCCATCTTCGTCCGAAAAGCATGAGCGGCTCTTGCATTTCTGCATCTTCCACCATTTGTAGTCTCCGCATGATGACGGTTATGAAGGGCAAGAGAGAATCACGTAGCTCAGAAAAGGGAGTGGGGAAGACCATGTGTTGCTCATGCAAAGTTATTTCCTTTACAAGTTTCCTTCTTGTCTCTACTGTAACTGCCAGGCTGGCTTCTTTTAAACTCCTTTGGGCCGATCCAAGGGTTTCACATGTCTAGAAGAAGGCGCATGAATGTGCAGCAGACAAATGCTACGGGTCAGATTTCTTTTGGCAGCCATCTGTCAGGGGAGAGATGGAGGCGGCTGGGGAGACTAGCCAGAGAGGAGACCAGAGGGGAAAGTAGGTGAACCCATGCTCTTTTTCCTCTCCCCTTCCTTTCTCTTCCTCCCCAGCGGGGTTCTGGGAAGAACATTTCCTCTGCAGCAGGCTTCACAAACCAGGCCTAAGGCCAGACGTAAGACTGGGCCAAAGACCAGGTATGGGCCATGGACTGCAAGTTGCCCACTCCCCCAACATGACCTGATAAAAGAGTCTGCCCTACTTCTAAACAGAAATTTTTTTTCTGCTTTGTTTGACAACATAGTCTGAGCAGTGCTCCCTTTCTCTCATAAAACCTCAGAAGAAAGAGAACACAAAAATACAGAATGGCGAGAGATAAGGATTTGTTTCTTTTCAAAAAGATACGGTTAAACATCATTTGGCGGGCATTTTGTTCGGTTCATACTCTGCATGTCTTCAGTATGCAAGATGTAACACAGACAAACAACAATTCAATGCCCCATTCTTCTGAACAAGCCTTCCTTAGTAAGCTTCTGCACTGGCATCAAAAATGCTGCTTAGGACGATGATCAAACCACTAAAAAATGGAGCAGGCTGCTGGACACAGCGTTCCTGAATCTTGTTAGGAGGAAAAATCGGACAGAGATCAGAGCAGCCTAAAACACACTCGACAAAAGCAGAAATTCTGACTCTCGTATTCTCTCTCTCAAAAACGGACAGGTATCAAAGAGAGATGCACGGGAAAACATAACTCAAGACTGGGGCACATGCCAGTCCTCCAGATGTTCCTGGACTGCAATTCCCATGATCGCTCATCATTTGATGTGCTGGGGAGGACCCTCAATTTGAATTAGGTGTCAAGGCTGCTTACATAAAAGCAACCATTTAACAGAAGCACAGTAAATATGACCTAATGAAGCTTCACAACCGAGATGGTTGAATTAACAGGAAGCTCAACTGGATTTCCTTACAAACATAGCAAGGATATGCATGGCGCCTTTTTAATTAACAGCCTACAGCCTCACACAGGAATCCTAACTGCTGCACCATGACTAAGAGAACAAGAGAAACAAGGCCAGAGATTATGAATATATGGCAAAGCTGACTCAGTGGAATCAGTGAGCTGAAGAATCTTGAATACACAATTTCTATATGGGCAGACACATCACTTCCATTTTATGAATACAACATGCTTAAATGTTTTAAATTTAAACAAAAGCAAAAATGCTTTCATCTATCCAGATAGATGTCAGTCATAAACCAACATTTTTGAAAAGATTCTACATTATGGAAGCTTGAGAGGGAGGCTTCCCGAGCAATCCTACATGGCTACTCAGAAGTAAGTACCACCGAGGGTAATAAGGTTCATTCCTAAATACCTGTAAAAAACAAAAAAACAAAAGCCATGGTCTTAAATACCTTCCACCGTATGTTTCAATAGCACTAAATACATATTAACTCCTTCACAGTGAATTTTAAAAAGTCAATACAGTCACTGCACCCAGCATTACAACCTAACAAGACAAAGATAAATACAGAATAGCCAAATTGACCTGGGCAAGCTAAAATTTTTCAGACGTCAAGCTTCAGAGAAACAAATGGAAATGGAAGACCTGTCAATTCCCAAAGCCCCACCCCTGAAAATCCGCCACGAGGAGGAATACAGAAAATCCCGTGAAAATGTAAGCAAGCAGCCATGGAGGCGAGATGGTTCACTAAGCCAGGGATTCCAAACGAGCCCCGCTTCTACCTTTCTGCCCCCTTTCCTGACGAAGCTCCAGCCGGACTGTCAGCACATCATCCCAATATGGCTGCCCCGGCAATTGTGCTGTGCGGGGAGGCAGAGGGATGGCGGAGGCCGAGAGGAACACATCGAAGGAGAACGGCAACTGTTCCCGGAGTCGACGAGGCCCCAAAAGAGAGGGGGAGGAACGGAAACACAGGGTTCCCCTCCGCCAGCCCACCCCTCCTAAACAAGTCCCCGTGGGCCGGCGTCAATGGCGAAAGGCAAGAGAAAGCCTCTTGTTCCCCCCGCCCTGCTCGACGGAGGAGGAGAGCCAAAGGCTGTGGGATGCTCAGGCCGCCAAAGAGCTTGAGGCCGAAGGGAGGAGGATCACAAAGCAAGACGAGGTGAGGCTCACATCTTTAGAGGCATCTTCTGAGACCATTCACCCCGGCAGCCTCCGCACCGTTAGGGAAGGAGGGATCTGGGCCTCTTTCCCAAGGGAACGCAGCCAGCTTGAACTCCCAGTTTAACAGGCCAGCATTTTATCGTGGTGGGGGTCTCCCTTGCCAGGGAATCCTGCCGAAGCCCCGTGGAAGGAGCCCCTGTGTGTAGTAACGTATATGATCTGGCTCTTGCGAGGAGGGTGGGGGTTCAATAACCAAGCTTCCGACTCAGCCCCACGCTGTCCAGCTGGAGGGCATTCCTCCATCAGCATTTCCAAGGCTGGCAATCAGGCTGTCACAAGATCTCAAAATCAGGCTGTCACCAGCTTCCTTGTGGAAAAGGTCTTTGGAACAACTTACACCGCGAATGTGGGCGGAAGAGGAAAATAACTCGCAACCCAAACTGATTCACGGAGGGAGAACCAAATTTAAAAAGCAAAACAAAGAAAGGTTTGAGAGATGGGGCTGCTATTCTAGGAAAAAGGACCATCCACAAAAATTGCTGAGAAAAATAATACAATACACGATATAATATACTCTTCCGGTTTCCTTGTGGGTCAAATGGGGAAATTACAGGTACCTATCTTTACAACATAAACATCACAGGCCTGGGCAATTCACAGGCAGTTCCTATCTTCAAATGGCATTTAAGCACATACGTAGTGCGTCATCACTGCACACACCTGTCCCCCCCACCTCGTCAATGACACAATCCCCCGAGTTTACCACGCCACCCCCTAAGCGCTTCAGCCACACGCTAGACTCCAATGACCCCTCTGGAACTCAAAGGTTTTGTACATTAAGGTTTTCCACACGAGACTAAATTTAGCAGTGGGGACTAATCACTCTCACTAGGGCTTAATTCCCAAATAAAATATACACTAGAGTTCTCTGCACTAGGTATAGGTGGATACGAAGACAAAGATATAGACCGATAAACAATTATATGTTCTTTTTGTCAGCGTTTAGAATTAGAGGAATGAGACTTACAAAGCAGATTACTTATTAGATCTTGTGTTATTTTTATTCCCACACCATTTTACTTATCTCATATTTTGTTATTACACATGCCACTTATAAGCTGCTTTGTACAATCTACTGAAAAGGCAGCATACACATATTTCCAAGTTTTAAAAAAATCAGTATAGCGTATAGCCATTTATTCTATTTTTGTCTTAGGAATATGAATGATTAGTACAACAGTATTATATTTATAATCATCATCATTTCTGACAAATCACTTGAGTCACACACTCCCAGGAGAGAGGGGGCTGTGAGAACAGAGGGCTGCAGAAAAGAAGCAGGGGGAAATGTCCTCAGTGGCAGAAAAACACATTCCCCCAACCCCATAAGCACCGAGACACATTATTTCTCCCTTTGAAGGGGGAGGAAGGTCTCTTGATGGGGTGGTCAAATTACAGCCTCCTCCTGGTCTTCCACTCCCACCTTTTGAGAAGCTGAGTACAAAATGGAACAATGAAGAGAAAGCTGGGCTTGAAAAATTAGAAAAGCCAGAGAGAGGTGACTCAAAAGGTAAATTACACCCTTCTTTTTTTACGCCTCTTGGAGGTAGAGAGAAGATGGAGAACAGAGGATGAAGTAAAAGAGAGGAAGATGGGGAAAGACAGAGACCAGGAGAGGAGGCTTTAAAGCTAAACCCACCCCAGGATTCATTTCTTCCCTACGTTGGGGGCTGGAAAAAAAGAGAAGTTGGAAAACAAATATTACAGAGCTTTTATAGAAACCCCCCCTTTTTGTAATATCTTCCTATGGCTTCTGCAACCCCTTTTTCCTCTAGTAAGTGGCTCCCGTCCTTTGTTTTGTGAAGGAAGAAACTGAAAAGGGATGAACCCAAAACAAATAAATAAAAAATAAGGCTGGGGGGAAAAAAGACAGAACCCCCCTCCCTCCCCACCTAATCCATAAACACCCCCCACCCCAAATAATACCCTTTTTGGGGGTGGCAGGTTGGAAAGGGAGGGAAGGGCAGACAAGAAGTGGGG